CAGGGCCCACACCGACGGCGCCGCCTCAGCACGCAGACGGCGCCCAGCACCCAGGAGGTGCGGAGGCGGAACTGGGTGCGGTCCTGGAGGGCAAGGCGCCTGCGTTCTCACCGATCAGCCCCACTCCGAGCAACAGCTGAGTGTCCGCCGCCTCAGCCGCAGCCATCTTCCGCCGCCGCGCGCAGCTTCTGCTCCGGACCCAGGCCCCGCCCTCCTCCAGGCCCCGCCCCACTCCAGGCCCCGCCCCACTCCAGGCCCCACCCGCAACCCCATTCGGCCCTCCTCGGGCCACGCCCATACTCAAGTCCCGCCCCAATCACTGAGGCCCCGCCCCGCCTCGTGCGGATTGCTCCTGTGGCTCCAGAGCACGCTTGATTCGGGCTGGTGGCCGCTTCCTCTGAAGCCTCGCTCATGAGACAAATCCAGGTCTTTAATCCAAGACTGCAGTTCCTCTAATCCAGGTCTTCATCCGCTTTCTCAATCCACTCCAATTTCCCTTTTCTTCTTATTTCCCCATTCTGTCTCCGTCCCCCAGTCTGGCACAAAAGAGCATGGTCCTTAGTTCCTCAAAATTGAGATCTCCATTCATTCATTCAGGCATTCCAAATCGAATCCAGAAAATAAGCTGAGAACCTAATACGTATTGGTCACAGTTGATCAAGAGAGAACATTCCAGTAGAAGAGACGGAAAATTGTTGCATAAAATAAATAATACACTACAACACCTAAGAGTGTCAAGTGCTATGAACACAAGAAAACCCTGCAGGATGTTACTGTATGCTCTCCAAAATGAGACCTAACTGGAAAATAAGCCCGAGCATGATTTTTCAGAATGCTCATAATGTAAGCCCTACCACAAAAATAAGCCCCTGTTAAGTCTGTCAGCCAGATGGACATATCAAAGTACACCTGTTGCTGGGCGTGGTGGCTCCTGTAATCCCAGCACTTGGGAGGCTGAGACAGGAGGACCATTGCGAGTTTGAAACCAGCCTGGGTACAAAGTGAGCTCAAGGCCAGCCTGAACTGCATAGGAAGAACCTGTCTCAAAAAGAAAAAAAAAAAAAAAATGAACTGGAGTCTTATTGCTGAATGATCAAAGTACAAATACAAGGCACGAACAATGTGATAATGAATGAATGTGGTTGTGTCTAACAGAAATCTTAATACACTGTGTGTTGTAATGATGTAGTACAACCAGGCTACATGGACAAGGAGTGGTCACTTAGGTGAGTTCTGTTGCTGTGCATGAGAGATTGTGGCCAATGATTCCATAGGAAATGGAGCCACAAGAAATTCAGTCCAGAATTTGTGGTTTGGAGAGTTATGATGATGTTCCAGAGGAAAATGACATGACTGTATTTGAATAAATGTAATTTTTGTACTTGAATAAATGTAGAGTGTTGTATATAAGAAAAATAAGACATCCTCTGAAGCCCTATTGCATGTTTTGGGGCAAAAAGTAATATAAGACCTGGGCTTATTTTCAGGGAAATATGGTAGTGAATGAGGATGGGCTGCTTTTTTTTGGGGGGGGGGTAGCCGGAATCAAACTCAGGATCTTGCCCTTGCCAGGCAGGCGCTTATGCCACTGAGCTAAATCCCTGGCCCTGAGCTACTTTAAATTGGGTGTCAAGGAAGGTTTCTCTGATGAAAGGCTACCTGAGCACAGATCAGAATCAAGGAAGGAAATGGACAGTAAACCAAGTGTGTGGCTCCCAGGTCCCTCCTTGTGGAAACTCAGCCAACCACCAACTCCAAATCATTCAAGATAGACTGCAGAGTTCTCCCTACCTCCTGAAATACAATCCCACCCACATCTTGCTTGAGCTTTCTTAAAGAATTACTATAAGCAGAGCTCGGTGGTGCATACCTGTAATCCCAGCACTCTGGAGGCTGAGGAGGAGGCTCATAAATTCCAGCCCAGCCTGGATGACTTCATGACTTAGTGAGAACTTGTCTCAAAATAAAAAATAAAAAGGCCTGTGCATATAGCTCATTGTGAACGCCCTGGGATTAATCCCCAGTACTGGGAAAAAGATCGCTATGAAATATTTATACATGTACACCAACTATCAAAAGACAAAATTGCAACAAATTTAAAGATCTAGCTGACGTGTAATCTGAGAAGAAATTGGCTTCATAGGCAGAAAGGGGCTGAAACAAGCAGAAATGGAGAACAAGAGGGGATTGATCCTTTCTAAATTACTTCTCTTAAAAGAGAGGGTAACCTATCCTGCCTGCTTTGTTGCTCAGTTAAACTAGGCCTCTCAGAGGATCGTTGCAAGTTCGAGACCAGCCTGGGCTACAAAGTGAGCTCAAAGCCAGCCTGAACTGCACAGGGAGACCCTGTCTCAAAAAAGACAATGAATAAATAAATAAATAAATAAATAAATAAATAAACTAGGTCTCTTCTGATTCGTTGTTGTGAATCTCCTGTTGTGGGGGGTGGGGGGGAGTTGGCCCATTTGCAGGTTTAACTTGATTACTTGACACTTAGCAAGAGTGACTCCATTTTGGTTTAGTCTGATCTGATGGGCCTAGGTCAGGAGCTTAATAATCCAAAACAGTGACCTCCTATACTTTTTTTTTTTTTTTTTTGGTTTTTCTCCGGTACCAGGAACCGAACTCACGACCTTGCGCTTGCCAGGCAGGCGCTTTTGCCGCTGAGCTAAATCCCCAGCCCCCCTCCTATACTTTTAACCCATCCTAAGGAAACCAACTAGTTTAGGACATCAAGTAAACCTAGTGCTCCTGTCATTCCAGTTCCTGGGGATGCTCAGGCAGGAGGATAGCAGCTCTAAGGTCAGTTGGGCAACACAGCAAGACACTATCTCAAAAAAAAAATGTCCAAGGTATCAGGTTAATAACCCTTCATTATTGTGGGCTGATCAAGACCACAATCTCCCAAACAGGTGGATGGCAAAGGCTTAAATAAATGAGACAATTGAAATGATTTCAGGGCTCCAAGAAGATTCAACCCTCTCACAGAAGTTAAGATTCTCTGGGTTTTTTGGTTTGGGCACTGGGAATCAAACTCAGGACCTTGTGCTTGTCAGGCAGTCATTTGTGTCCCTGAGCTACATGATCAGCAACCTACCTTCTGGGTTAAGACCAAGAACTTTCCAGGGCCACTAGTATTTATTTGGTTTTTCAAACAAAGAAGGGGGATACTGAAGAAAATGCAGGAATCTGGGCAGGACTTGGGAATCCCTGTAAGGACTTCTCCAAGTAATACTTTGTGTTAATTTAGAACTATGTTATCTCCAAGAAGGCCCTCACTGCAGGACTGAGATGCTTGCAGCTACAGTCTCCTCTTAGTTTATTGGGGTTGGAGCCAAAAGTCCACAGCTGTGGCCTTGTCCTGTCCTTTGAGGCCTCATGGCTTCACCCAGCATTATAGGCCTCAGTAGGGACCAGTGATTTACCGTAAACATGGAAAGCCAATTGGTTAATTTAAGTCCTGCTCTTCAGTGGCCCAAGCATCTGCCTGGCAAGCACAAGGTCCTGAGTTCGATTCCCAGTTTAAAAAAAAAAAATTAAGTCCTGCTCAGAGCTGTTTGTAGTGGTCTCTACCACCAGGGAACTGAAAAGTGGGACACAGATTCAGAATCTGTTTGGAAGCAAAGTAGACACACTCAAGTTTCATTAGCCTTTGCTAGTGAGGATTCACAGGCAAACCATTTCTAAGAAAAATCGATCTTGTGGAGTTCCTATAACAACCTTGACAAAACATCAACCTGCAACAATTTGCACTTCAAATACCTGTTTTTTAATGAAAGTGTTATAGGCAGCTGAGTTAGATATAAATGTTATAGACAGTCAGACAAGGCCAGGCCTCGAAGGAGCCAGTGCAGAAGATGGAATACCTTGCAAATGGAGAGATGAGCACTTCCGCTGTGGGTCAGACCTCAAGACAAAAGATTAAACAGATGTGCCCACATACTTCTCCTGGGGATGAACATCATGGATTGATAGTCTAAATAGGTTGCAGTCACCTTAAAAAAGCCAGGAGGAGTCACTAACCCAACCCGCTATAGGAAAGGCCTCTGCTTTGTATTCATGCCCACTTGCTACATGACTCGCTTCCCCATTTGATCCCGATTTAATCAATTTTACTTAAACAATTATACTTGTAATCTTACTGGCTGATCATAGTTTTGTCCCAACTCATTCCCACCTAGCAAGTTCCCATGTTTTCCATGTTGGACCCGCCTCACCTCCTGGTTTTGCTCTGTGACAATCCCTGGAAAAGACAGGTTCCAGGCAACCTACTCTTGCCCCCTTCTGTCCCTCTCTTGGACAGAAACTTTCTTTCCTCAATAAGTATATTCTGCTCTTAACCTCCATTGTTCCTAAAATTCTTTCTTCGATTTTAGAGAACACAAACACATACCAGATATCTTTCAGGTTGGGAGTTTCTTTCCCCTATATCAAAAGGAACCCATTTAATCAACTAAGGTAATTATATTAAGAAAAAAATTGGGGGCATACTGGAAGTTAAACCCAGGGCCTTCACATTGAGATATTTATATCCATAGCCCGCCCCCTTTTAGAACTCTTTAAACAGAATCTCACTAAGATACTCAAATTGCCCAGGTTGCGTTCTAACTTGCAATTCTCCTACCTCAGCCGCCGGCATATTTTAAGTTACTACAATAAGGTGAACTTTCCCCTCAAAATTCACAGGTTGCTGTACCTTGGACTGTGACTATTTGAGGCAGTGCTTTTAAGGTGTGCATAGGGTGGGGGTGGGGATTGTGTTCAAATGAACTCATTAATGAGGACCCCAAACTAATCTAAGAGTTTTTATAAGAAGGGGAAAAGTGCTGGGCGTGGTGGCGCATGCCTGCAATCCCAGCACTCGGCAGGCTGAGACAGGAGGATTGCTGTGAGTTTGAAGCCAGGCGGCACTACAGAGTAAGACCGTGTCTCCAAAAAAAGAAGAGGAAGAGGAAGAAGGACAAGGAGAAGGCAAAGAAGAGGAAAAATTAGCCAGCCATGGTTGCACACACCTGCAATCCCGGTACTTAGGAGGCTGCAGCAGGGGGATTGCTGTGAGTCCAAGGCCAGCCTGGGCTACACAGTGAAACCCTGTCTCAAAGAAAAAAAAAAAAAAGAAGAGGAAAAATGGACAAAGAGAGATGAGCTGCCGTAGGGGTGTGTTACAGAGGAAAGACCCCATGAAGAAGTAGCTGCTCTCAGCC